AATTAGTGGAGTCAGCTTTTTCATCAGAGGCAGTAGAAGTTGCAGTTCCCTTAGCAGCAGATTTCCATCTGCTTTAGAGCAATGAGGCAGTGCGATGCACTTGCAACAGACACTGAAGGGACTAAAGGGACACTAAATTCTAGGAGAAAGGAAAGCTCAGATAAAGCTGCTGCCCAGTTCCTCCTCAGGCTGCTGAAACAGTAAGAGAAGCCAAGAGAGAAAAGAGGGCTCATTGTTGCTTCCTACTTTTATTGCTTTGTGTGTTTGTGCCACAGGCTTTCAGTTAGTCCTGAGACTCCTACACTGTCATGCAGTTCCCTTGCTTTGGGAACACATACTTGAAAACTCCCATTATTTTTATCCAGAAAAGCAGATTACAGCAGCTACTGATGGCATGAGGATGTGCGAGAACAGTAGAAGAGTATTAAATACTGCAGTGGTTACTGGGAGACTTCAGTGCACAAAGAAAAAGATTGGAAAGAAGAGATGTTATGTGCAAGTACAGTAAGATGAAAAAAGCTGAAAAGTCTCAAAAAATACATTTAGGAAAACTTTCAATAGACGAATTCTGATGTCAAAAGAGACTAATCCAATAGATTAATTTTAAACAAAGTCATTTGTTTTACTACAGTGTAAAGGGACAAAAGTTTCTTTTTCATATATGAAAATATTCTAGGAGATGCATTTTTATAAATTTAATAAGAATGTTTTAGAAACTTAAGAAAAACACCCTAAAAGGATCTTCAAGGAGTTAAAATGTAGGCAGAGTGTTCTAAAATGCATTAACATATATGTGGAATGAAAGTTCAAACAAGACCCTACCATCTTTTATATATGATTCAAGCCAATAAAGAAATAAACCCCTGCTGTGTTAATGGGAGCTTACCCACTGGTTTTAATGGGATTCACTCCAGCAAGCCTCAATATAGTACTACTTTAATTTAAAGTTGGATTTGCAAACTCTAATTAGTACTTTGAGTAAGTTGAGGAAGATTTCTTAAGCTGTATTAAAACTCAACAGACAAAGATGAATGCTGCTTTCCTGCCTGTCTGCCAGTTTCTCCCTTTTTGCACGCTTCAGATCAGCTCATAGCCAGCTGCTCACTGATCAGCAGCACACTGCGGAGACCTGCAGGTTTACTTGTAACTGTTCTGACAGATCACTGATCTCTGTTTCGTACTGCTAACTTACAGTATATTCACCTTACCCAGCTTGGGTCTGGAGCAGAAAAGCCTTCTGGATCCAAGGAAACTAGCCTTTCAATTGTCAGCTTGTTAGACCACCTCAGCTAGTGTTACAGCACAAACAAGGAAATTACATTTCCTATAGTAAATGCACAGGGCATGGGGTTGGTCACTGAGGCTATGGTGATTTACCTAGGGCTGCTGGTTCCTGACCCCTCCAGTGGTCCCAGGAAAACTCCTCTCAGAGGGCTCCACTACCATCTTGGAACAGATGAAGGCTGCCTGGCCTTCATACAAAGGACAGACAAGGAAGATGCAAGTACCAGTACCAACCCAGCCTTCAGCTGGAGCAGTTGCAAAGGTATGGGGAGGTTGTAGAAGTAGTAACTCTGTCTTTTACAACTGTATTAATTAAATTTATTGGCTTTAAGGATATATACATGTTTTTATGGGTTACAGCTAGGAGCACTCAGAAAGCACAGCCAAAGGCTGCAAGACTAATATATAAATCCATGAGCTTTCCAGCTGGTGAAATAAGGTATCAGAGAGGGATAGAGGCTTCTCTGTCTCCAGTACTGCTTAAAAGGAAGTGACTTTCCTTTCTACCCTCTCCTATCTGTTGATGGACTTCTTTGATGAGACTTTCAGCATTTAGTTGAAGACTGTTATGTTAAGCCTGGGTAAAGGGATATGTCTCCACTAGACAAGACATAAAAAGATCTATGATCTGAGACATACCCTTGCCTTTGAGGGTTCTGGCTGACACCCCCTACCTGAAGGTGCTGGTTTGAGCAGTTCTTAGTCGGAGGTGGCTAAATGACACAACTGACCATGCAGAAATCATGGTGCCAAGTCATTTAAAACTTTCCCAGACACCTCCACATGATGCTGAGATCTCAGCATGTCTTACCAGAAACTCACTCCCATGTCTGCATTATGCAATCAAGATTTTCAGAAGAAATACTGCGACATGATCAAGGACTGCATGTGCTTCAACAAGGTCCCAGTTAAGGTTAGGAACCTGACAGCAGCTGAATAATAAAGGCACACTGAATAATCTGGACTCAAACAATTAAATATGAATTTCTGTATCACCCATCCAAACCAAGAAATACAAGTCATGTTTTGAGGACATAGGAGTCTCTCCTGGGGATTACTGCCTTGAAACAGACGCTAGAAGTGTCGGCAACTAAGTAGCTAAGAATAACTCCTTAGGGTGACACTGTGGCCAGACGTGGAACATAATTTAGGCAGTCAAAGTAAAAATTCCGTTTCACCATACAAGAACTCTACACTACATCTTTTGGGTGACTGCTTCTCAGATACCAAGCCCAGTTTTAGTGTCCTCAGAGAATGCTGACAGAGCTCACTTAAAAGAAAATGAAGAAAGAAACCCATAATCACTCTCATTAAACACACTTAAAACCCCCTTTAATTTTAGCAAAGATTTCCCCTTGTGACTCAGGCAAGTTTCTTAATGTCTTGGTCGCTCTAATAAAATATATATGCTGAACAGAAATTCAATAACAGCAAACAAAGAAAGAGCCAAAATCAAGTCAGAAAGTGAAGGGAGATGAATTCAGAAAGAACTACTCTTAGCAGTGCGTTCTTAGACATCAGAACACATACCTAGGCTGGACAATTAGTGGAACAGCAAACTTTATCAAACACATGGCAATGGCAATGGATACACAGAGGAGATGCCATTTCCAACAGCAAATTTGAAAACTTCTTATGCTGGTGACAAAGCTGAAGACCACAATTCAATGTCCTGAATATTTTCACATTTGGGTGACTTTTTGATATTTCGCTGCAGCAATCCAGCTGAACTAGTCCAACCACTGACTGTAACAAGGACAGACTGCAAATGAGAAAGGAATCTTTTACAAAGACTGAAATAAATAGGACAAAACTCAGCTGGCACATTTTGGCAGCTGTTGTGGTTATTATCAGCAGCTTTTGAAAGTAAATTCAAAACAATGCCATAACATTTTTGACTTAGAATGAAGACCACAAAGTGAAATGATTAGACAATTCTGAGAAAAAAAAATAGAGTTGTCAAAGTGTGCTGCATAAGGGAAAGGTCTAAACATCAATAAGAATGGCTTTGACAGAAATTTCTGCTAGAAAGTATGCCAAAGGCTGCAACTTAGTTGTTTCAAAAAAAGACTAAGGATAAATAGGAAAAATACATTATTCTGCTGTTTTCTGAAATATTTTTTTCCTGTAGCTTTTGTGTTAGCTCTGGTCTTCAGTGTTCTGTTGACTGAAATGCAATGCTGTATAAGCCACTTCAAGAAAGCAAGCAAGTTATTCTCTTTATTTGACTGTTGCTCTCATAAAACAAACAAAAAAATCTGCAGTGGATGGATTTTCTTCTTTAAATACTGAATTGAAAGTCATTGTGATGACCACAGCATTTAAATTAAAGTACTTAACCTTAAACTACCTGTTTAAAGCCTAACTTGTACAGCGCCTTTTTAATAGACTGGAAAGCCAATCTAATGACAACAAGAACCCAAATTCTGTTCCATGTAGGGAAAAAATTTATTCCAGTTACTTCTCTCTGGAAAAGTGTAAACAACAAAGTAATAGCTACTTCACACTTCACTATCTTAAACAAAGATAGGCTTTCATCTGTATGAAACTAAGTTTGAGCTCAGTAAGTAACAAGTAGAACTTGAGTTACTACACACAAGGGCATTTTGGGCCCCTTTCTATGCTCAGCCCATGGATGGCAGGATGCTGCCTGGAGCTAATGGATTTTTCCAGATGCCAGTAAGCAGCCTCAGGGCACCAAGCCCACTTGTGTACACGGAAATCCAGTTCCAAGATAATATGATCAACTTCCCAAAGTCAGTAGGTTTGTGAGTCTTGTGGCCAAATCACTTTTTAACTCATGTATGTTAGTGTTGCCTAAAATCAGGAGAAAAAGACTCACTAGGCAATTATTCATATAGACAAGATATAGAGCAGGTCTTTAATGAAGGCCTTCTGGAGCAAGGAGTACAAAGGCACGTGTCCAGGAGTTCTACAATTTATGGTCTAATACAAGAACTATCTGCCCCAGATCCTCCCCAAATCTGCCCCTCTGACACGCCTCCCTGAAAACTGAGTTGGAGGTCCCAAGATCCCTTTCTTCCATCTTCCTCTTCTTCACGACATGTACTGTCTCTGGAGTTTCTCCAAGGTTCCGGGCTTGAAGGTTGCTTTGACTATGAAGGTATCTTGTTGTTCAGCCCTGGGATGCGTATGTTCTTAAACAGAATGTGTTTACTATAGTCCTGCCTTGAAAGGAGCCTAAACAAGCCAAAAGAATTTAGAAAATTCAACATGAAATGGGGGAATAGGGTTTGTTAAGTGATAACTACTATTCTAAAGTGACAGACTGTACAGCTGTACTAAAAAATCTATATTTACTTCACAGCTACTTTAAAATCTACGAAAAGCTAAAAATCCTAAAAATTCTGAGGCATCGTTACAATACTACAAAATTCCCTCCTACTTCAAGAATGATTTACAATTAATCTGTGTTCTGCATACTCCAGAAAATCCATCTCACAAAGAAACCTGAGCTAAGGAACTAAAGAGTTCCTACTCCAGTGTCTAAGACCAGGTAGGAGTTCACACTGCATTCTTTCCAAGCCTTAAAGGAATCAATAGCATTCCCTCCTATTGCATCTACCTCTTTTTTGTAAAACTTTGGCTGATGAACTTAGAAGGTTTTGGGGCCAAGTTAAATAGACAGTGACCAAATGCAATCCTCCTCAAGAAACCAGGCTAAAAAGGAATCCTAAGGAATTTCTACTACTTACCTTCTTGATAGTCTTCCTTTTTTGGACTTGATTTTGGCTTTGCCAACTGCCTACATTAAGAAAGAGGACAGAGGAAAGGAGAAAAGAATTGTTGAATTAGAAGTATTGTAAAGAAATGTTATATGGCATTGCATTGTACAGTTCCCCCTTGAGACTTCAGGGAGACTCCCTCAGGGAACTTCACCAGGTTTATAATCTGGTGCTCCACATCATGCAAAGAAAAGCCTGCAGACCCCAAGGAGGATTCAGACCCCAAGTCTGCTGCAGACCATATGAACACATTTCTTGAAGAACAGATGTTCTTCAAGGTGCTAATCCTGATGTCTTGACAGGGCAACTAATTATTATACTGGTTATTCCAGTAACCAAAGAGGAGGAGGGATCTCAAAGAAGCTATATATGTTTGAATATATATATATATATGAAGATATATATGTCTTTTATGCAAGAAGACAACTTTTACAAAGAAGAGTGAGCCTAGTTCTAAGGCACTGGCCCTGACATTAACATACTCATATTCCCCTGCAGACTTAGTTGTAGATTTACCATAACATGACTCACTGTGCATGCTTCTCTATTCATTGTATAAATTGAACAGGGATTGAACACCTAGAAATACAAAAAACTCATAAACTGTCAACTGACATTTTCCCTTAATATTTCCAGGCTTTTGTCAAAGCTAGAGTCTGAACAGGATGTCATGACAAGCCTCACTCCAAGATAGGGCTCTGCTGAAGAGCAGACCACTTCTGAGTTGGATCTGGTTTGTCTTTATTTTTCACAGAAATTCAGAACAGCCTGAAGAGATGATCCTAACTTGGAAAGAGCAGAAAACAGTTTTAGCTTTTGAAGGCTATGTTAAAAACATAGTGAAATTAATCAGTTATTGGATTAGCAACACTGAGATGCAGAAAGCACAGGCTACTTGACATCCTTTAGAGTCATGTAAGTTGTCTCTTTTTTGACTAGGGTAGATCAAGATTATAAAAAGCTTAAGTAACATTTTCACCAGGTTAGCTTATCCACTTTAATTAAGTACAAATGAGTCCTGATTTCTAAACAGTTTTGTTTTTAAAGCATTCAAAGTAGTACTTAAAAAACACTTGACTAAGGAGTATTTCACAGGCACTTCAGGCCAGTTAGAATGCACTCAGAGGTCAGGTAATGTTTGTGTCGAGCATCGGTTTTTACAAATTTTTGTCATCAAAATGGCGAGCACTCTCTCTGTGACCATTATCACAACTAAAGCAAAGCAGTCTCTAAGCTAATCTTCATAAGATAACTTTTCAGATAAGAAACTGAATCAAAATAAACGGGGAAGGGAAGGACAAACACAGCAAATCACAAGACAGTGCAGAAAGTTTCTATTTCCCAGGCCTGCAGGTGCCCCAGGGACTGGTTCTCGCACGCTCCCACAGCCCCCGGGAGCAGGGCTTGTGCCGAGCCTCCTTCAGCCGCGGGACGGCCAGGAACCGGGGTGGCGCTGGGGTGGCCCGTCCGGCTGCGACAACGCCTCCGACGGCAGCCGCGGGCGCTCACCTGAACACTCGTTTCTCCCCTTTTCTCCCTCGACGGGATCCGATCTCCGGTGCTTTCGCGCGGGGACTCAGCTTTCCCAGCTCCTCCCAACAGCTCCGAAGGCTCCCGGCCGGCAGCGGAACGCCCTTGTCCACGACTCCTCCTCTGCGTCCCCCGGCTCACATCCACCGCCTCCCGCCCCCCGGCCCGGTACTCACGGCCCCGTCGGCTCTCCAGACACCCCTGGTCCCGCAGCTCTGGCGGCGGCCGGAACGCACCTGGAGCACATCCAGATGCGGCGGCTACTGAGCGAGGGGGGGGCACGAACTCGGAGCTGGAGCCCTGAAGGTGGGGTGCCGCGCACCCTGCCCGCGCTTGCACCGGCTGCTGCTGGGAAGGGCCGCCGGGCGACGGGAACGGGGCGGGCGAGTGACCCCTACCCACCCCCAGGAGACGACAGGCAGCCGGAGTCACAAGCGCTGTATCTTACTCCTGGCCTCTCGGCTCGATTCTCTTCATTAGAAATGAAGTTGGAGGAAAAAAATAAGCAGTTCCTGTGTCTTACAGTGACAGATTCTTACAGAATCAATACCTTTAGAAGAATCTCATGTTGCTTTCATGAAAAGAAAATATTGTTGTCACGAAACAAGTTCTTTCATCCAGTGTGCAAGAAGCCGATCCACACACAGAGTCGAGATATTTGATTTATTTGCAGAAATAATCCACAAAGCCAGCATACTGAGTATTGCAACATTTCACTATTCTTAGCAAAGACACTAATGTTCATTGGCTCCAAATTCCATAGTCCTCTTATTAATTAGTCTTCTGTTGGTTAAATGATTCTGTCACTTCACATGCCCACATGCTCAGTCTTCTTTTGAGCTAGTGCCCTTCTTACTTCAGATGGTGTCTTCCTGTCTTAGGCCAGTGGGCACGGTCTCCTACTGTCAGAATTACCCTAACCTAGTTCGACAAGATAGCCTTGTTTTGTTCCTTATAATCTGGTGTTACCTTAGTCGTTTCGCCAAGTGTCGCCGGTTCTGTTATGTCTGGTTTCAGTTACGTGCTTAAAGTTTCTTTCTTCTATTCTTTTTTCTATACCTGCTACAATTACTGAGACATGATAAACACAACTTATCTATTTGGGAGCCATATATGAACATTAGAGTATGTCAAGTATGCTGAAGTCAAGTATCACAGCCAACTGAGGGCTGCAATTTCTTTCTTCATTTCCTAATAAAAAAAAAGACAAATTAGGAGTCAGTTTGAATATAAGCTTGAGAACTCTGTTTACTTCTTCATCAAAGGACCAAGAATCTGTACATACATACAGTTGTTAGTAATATTTAGCCAATGTGCTACCACCATCCCAACATCTTTCTTGACCCATTAGCTTCCAACTCATCCTTAGCATCCAAAATAGAGAGTAGGCTAGAGAGACTGCAGGGATCTGTATCAAGGGACAATGAATCTCTATCAACGGTACTTTGAACAATGAGAAAGAAGACAGTTCCTGAAGAGCCACAACTGAAAGCTGGAGCTGTTCTGTTCTGCACTCTGAACAGTATTTGAGTGCTTGTTAAAGTCTCTCTCTTCGTACAGTAGAGATTGCTCCTGACTGACTTGCACAGCCACTCTGAATAGGAGATATTTTTTGGTTTAAGCTTAGGGTAAAAGAAATCAAACAAAGAAATCAGGTCCAGTCACAAAAGCTGACAAGCCCTGATATAACATAAACAAATCCCTTCCTGTTGCAAAACACATCAACATGCTAGATGAGAGAAGGGTGCATTTTTCAGGAATGGCCTCCCTGAATCCAAATAATTCTCAGTGCTTCACAGTCAGAACAGGCCATCCATTCTAACTCTTTATCGGACATTGAAGAAGAGATCGAGATGATCAGGGCTAAAAAAGAAGAGGTTGCCTCTTTTTTTTAAGGCAGAGTGAGAGCCATAAAGAATTTTATCTATTCTCAGGCACAAGCATCTGAAAGACAAATGGATTCCAGGAAGACAGACTACCCAACCTGCCTAAATCAACTCAATATTGAGAATGCCTTACTGGGGCCATGGGTACCCATGAAAGATTTCTGCCAAGTTCTGACAACTCAGAAATCCTCTCTTAGAGGAAGAAATTAAACAGTTGGACTCAGGGGCATCAAACCATCATAGGCAGAAAGCTCCCCACATGTCAAATTAAAGATGCTTGAGCTGTGTGAGTTAAAGAGAAAGTATAGTGAGACTAGAGAAATGTCTCAAATTCTTGTAATGCTTCATACTTAATTTGTTTTCAGGAATGGAATGACTACTACACAAGTGTTACCATGTGTGACTGCCTGCAAGGGGAGAAAGAGGAAGTGGCAGATTGAGAAAAGAACCCTCCTTTCTTAGCCTCCCATCCCTTAAAAGGTTCTGGAGAAGGCGTAGTGGGGTCAACTGCTTTGAGAGGCCTGTGGGGGTGGCCCCATTGTCTTCAAACCTATTCCTGCTGAAACTGCCAACAATATTAAGCTATTAGAGCGTGTCCAAAGGAGGGCAACGAAGATGGTGAAGGGCCCTGAGGGGAAGCCTTATGAGGAGCAGCTGAGCTCATTTGGTCTGTTTAGCCTGGAGAAGAGGAGACTTAGAGGAGACCTCATCACACTCTACAACTTCCTCATGAGAGGGAGAGGAGGGGTAGACACTGCTCTCTTCTCTGTGGTAAGCAGTGACAGAACCCAACGGAATGACCTGAAGTTGTGTCAGAGAAGTTGTGTTAGGGTGGATATTAGAATAAGGTTGGTTCTTCATACAGAGGGTGATGGGGCACTGGAACAGGCTCCCCAAAGAAAGTGATCACAACACCAAGCCTGTCTGAGTTCAAGAGGTGTTTGGACAACACTATCAGGCACATGGTGTGACTTGGGGATGGTCCTGTGCAGGGCCAAGAGTTGAACTTGATGATCCCTGTGGGTCTCTTCCAACTCAGCATATTCTGTGAAATATGCCAAATACAACTATGGTTTTGCAATATAGATAAATGTCTTCCAGACTAAAATGAAAAAGTCTTGTAACACAGGCAACTAAGCAGTAAAGAGTAATGCTAAATAAGTGCTATGTTCACAGTGCACACATACATAGGTATAATAGACACACACACATAACAGTGTGTAACAGAAAGTGTTACATAACAAAAAAACTTACCGTCACTAATTCAGTTTTGTCGGCATCATCTCGATGTTGGTAAATGCACAGGCTAAGGACAGAATATAATTTTACCATGCTTGATATACTGATGCTTTCAGTTGCCTCAACAATAGAATCCAACACTTGCTGAAGAAAAAAAAGTGGAAATTACAGTTTCGAATAGCACGAGATATGTCCTACTTTCTTATATTGTTAAAGAAAAGTGGCACTTCAGAGAACTGATTAAATATCTGACAAGATTTAACTTGAGAAAATGGGTTAATTTTTCACACTTCAGAGAAAAGGAAGGCTTAAAGTTCAGACAATACTTTTTTCCTCATCATTCTATGATATCAACAATCATAATTGACAATTAACTGCCTCCAGAACAGCAGCAAACAACACAATCCAGTTTGTCATAGAGTAGCTGCCACAGGAAAGCCACGATTGCATTTCATTAGAAATGCCATACAGGGCCCTGGAAAATGTGTGTTTGGAAGCCAGGCTACAGATCTTCCAGATACAGCTGTGCTAGTCAGAAATGGAAGCATCCTTAGGTGCTCACCTTTACCCATTAGCTGAATGTGTACTGTGCCTAACATAAACTCAAGACACTAGCAGAGAGACTCCCTGTAGCAAATTACCAATCTCTCACACAGTCCTTTCTGTCACCAAATATGTGAATGTGATAATCTATGAGAAAGCAACACTAACATGCTAGCAGCAGCACTGCTGGGGCTGTACAGTAGCTGTGTATTGTGTGAGGCTGTGAAGATGTAGCTTAAGACAGCAACCTCAACAAATGAAAATATTACTGCCTCAAAACCACTTACCACTAACTCAGCCTCCCTCAGATCAGCTAGCACAAGATTTGAGCATTCCCCTCATGTCAGATGTGAGATAAGACACACAAAAACCACGCAGCATGCTTTCAGTTGCTGCAGACACAAAAGGTAGGGCATGACAGAGGTGTGGCCAACATCGCATGTGATACTATTTCTAATTGCTGCCACATAGGTAACTGTATGCTCTTCTTTTTCATCAAGTTCTACACCTATTACCAAGCAAATAAACAAAAAAAACCCACCAGCAACCAAAGCAACCAACCAAATAAATAATCAAAATCCCCACCCCATACAAGACCAAGAAGTTATATTTTGGAGGTTCATCCAGCTTCTTAACTGCAGGTGAGTTCCAAAGAACTTCTCTGGTACAAGCAGCAAGTTCCAGTGGCACCCATGTTAAGTAAACAAGTTTTTTAGAAAGACGTATTTCATGATTGTAGCTCTCTCCTCACAGTTGAAAAATATATAAAGCTGAAACATCTGTAAGGGCTCTACTACATGATTTCCCCAGTGGGCAATAACATCAGAACACATGCTGTTAGCAGCCTGAGTTTGGAAAAACATATGTGGCTTCTCTCCATACACAGGCAGACACGAACAAGAAAACCACCTAAAATTTGCTTATTTAGGACACCAGCCTTAAAAAGATACTTTCACCTCTAAAAATTAAGTCACAGTTTAAAAATGTGACAGAAATTATGTGGACAAGCCTCTTCAGCAAAGAGGATTCCACTCTGGTCACATTCTCTTCATGCAGAAGAAACATCCAAATAATACTCCCTTTCTCAGGCAGGTAAACAGCAGCAGCATCTGCTTTGACCAACCTCCAGTACTTCAGTGTAGCAATTTCCCACATTTCTGTCACAGCAATATCCCCTGAAGATCAGGTTCTTCTTCTACCCTCTCCAGTTCATGCAAATGAATCTCTTTTACCCCCTGCATCTAGGTCCAATTTTGACCCTTTCCCCAACTCTAACCTAGGATAACAACTTCTCTCCTATAGGGAACTGGAATAACTTACGACACTGTAACTGTGTCAATGCAAAATTCTAACTCTGGATTTTGAAAGAATTTGGGAAAAACAGGTATTAATATTTTAACCATCATGAGCTTTAAGTCAACCTGCTATCTTCAGGTTTAAAGCCATGACTGCTAAAAATCAAGGTCCTTTTCCATTTCCTAATAGATGAAAGCATGCAAACAGCAAAACAAAACAACATCCTCCTAATATATCGTAAAAACTGCTAAGACATTAATAACCAATAGCACAAGCAGGTTGTCAGTGGGCTATCTTAAAATTTAACACGCCCTTTTACATTAAAAATTAGGAAGAGAACCCTGTCTCCTAAAATATAATTCACCGAAAGCAAGGGCAGCAGTCTAGAACAGCTGTGGAAATAACAATTGCAGGTTGAATTATTTCACAAGCTGTATATCCCTCCCATAAATTGCTTGAAATTGCACTGGTTAGAAAACAACTTAATTTACAACTATACAGGTAACAAGAAAACTGACACTGTCCTGTGTCAGTATTAACAAAATTGAAATTAGACTTACTCCGAGCTCAGAGTCATCCACAAGCACTCCCTGTGCCTGAATTTTCATTGCTTTCCTGTCACATACTCGCGGTTGCTCATCCACCTGAGAACATCTCGCATGAGTCACACGGTGTACCTTTGAATCTGGAATGACACAGATCTCTTAAGTCAAGATTTCTCTTTATCTGGAATACAGTATCAGTGAAGGTACTGTATATACAGAGTGCTGTATATAAAGTACCTCTCTGCAATAACAGAGAAACCACAGAAAAATAATTGATAGAAAATTACCACCAAAGCAAATACTGTATTAGCTATTAACTTACAGTAGCAAAGTTTTATATGTAGAATATCCTCACCTGCATTGGTTTTTGATGCAGGAGGTTCAGCAGCTTGCTTCATGATCAAATCCTCAAAAAACCCTCTTCTTTCAGCACAGGTAGGCCGCGGGATTTTGAAAACTTCTTCACGATTATTATTAAACAATGCTTTTATCTAGAGCATGAAAGGAAAAGACATTTGAGACGTAAGGCCACACAAATATTTTTTTTCTATTCCAAAAAGATGAGTACCTTTGTAAATCAAGCTGAATACTCATCTGGATAAGACAAGCTATATAAAGTTAACTTTTTGGCCTTAAAAATCTAGATTTTCATAGCAGCATAAATTAAAATACCTTCTCTAAGGAACCCTCTAGAGTTTAAGCTTCATGAAAAAAATGTATGATAAGCCAATGAGAAAGGGGCAACGCTCATCACCCCTAAGGCTGCTTATTTTATATTTACCTACTTTACTGTGGTCTAACTTGAATTCTTATGGCAGCTACAGAGGCAAGGCTCAGCAGACAAGTGCCAACTTTTTGTTAAGGTGGAGGTTTGGGGTTTTTTTTAATTTAGAAGGTATCTATTAGCATTGTAAAAACTTCCGTTACTGAGACAAAATAATCAGAGCAGTATAATCACATTTTGAACGCCTTCCTTTAATGCACACTCTCAGATGTCTAGAAAGCTCAGCACATCCTCTTAATGAATTTTGTTAAGGAATACAACTAAAAATTGATTTCCAAGTTACCTAAACAGAAGTTGGACCTTAACTTTTTAATTTGTCAAGTTTTCATCTAGATGAAGAAAGAAATTGAATTTTTCATTAAATAATTTATATTTGAAATTACATTCTACCAGTAACAGTGTGATCACCATCCTTTTTTCGTAAAAGTACCTTTCATGTTTTTGGTAAAAATGTTATCAAAAAACCCAATATTTTTCCTAGCTACCTTTCAAGCACGCTAAGGACACACCTAACCATCTTGAAGCCACTGAAATGATTGTCTGAAGTAAGTCTATACATCTGTCAGATAAGCATGAGTGAGAAGCAAGAAAAAGTTGGGCGAAAGTCAATCTCTTTACTCAGAAAACACTTTAGACAAATGCTTTCCATATCTCTTTGTCTAAGCCAATTTTAAGAGACTGGGTTCTGGTGCCTCAGTAATAACAATATGAATTTGTATAAGAGCAGCACAGTAATCCAATGTTTTCACAGAGTTATAAATTAACAAGAAACTGAGTAATAAAGGAAGAAAAGTATCGACAGAAATACCTCTTCTGGGAGATCTTCATGTTGCACATCAGATGTTGCAAGAAGCAAAACTGGAGCAAAGTATGGAATGTAATTCAGTAGTCCTGTAAAACCAGTTTTCAGTGTAGGTCCAACAGCCTCCCACCACAAAGGGATTTGTGGGATATAAATGATGCTTGGTGCTGTTCTTTGAGCTTCTCGTATCAACTGGTAAAATGAAAGCTTGGATAAGAAAACTACATCATGTAGAGCAGATAACTAAATAACTACATATCAGTTGAACTATCCTATGAAATAAGAATGCATAAACAAAGACATCAAGAGAAACCAATAAATGAACAACTCCTTAACAGTAAGGTAAAATTTTCACTTTGACTAAAATATGGACATTGCTACAGAGACAGAAACAGACCTAAATCTCTGCCTGATTTCAAAATTCCTTAGGTGTAAGAGTTCCTAAAGAGTCTCAGAATTCAGCCGATGTGGTGGTGTGCCTGAAAAAACAAGACTAACCCTTCAGCTAGATGGCCTGGATAAATTGCTACACAACTGTAACTGCACGATTTTCAATTCAGAGTGGGCACATGCTCAAGTCAGACCAGAGCACAGTCTGCAAAAACAAATATCTATGTGAAAAGATGAGGGCTGAGAAGATAAAAGAAGCCTGGTTACGATTCATAATTTCAAGCATATTTTACAAGAACTGACCAGTCCTCAGTCTGCCTGAAGAGATGAATCACTCACAGCCTCTCATTACCAAAGGATCCACCAGACCAGATGACGTGCCTTGGAAGATCACAAGCCACTGCTTAGAGATGGCACCTCAATCACAGAAGAGGACCTGAATGTACTGCATGAGGGAACTGGCAACAGTCCTTTTACACGGCAAATTTCTCTGGGCACCCTTTCAGATTAACAATATTCAGGGAGTTCCTGTCAAAAAATGGGAAGTGCACTTGGTGTATCCAGGCAGTGACTACACAGGGGAGTTATATGACCACAGATGCAACCATGACAAAAAAGGAATTGTTCCTCTATGTGACAAACAAGAATCACGTCATATAATGTGTTCTTCCTGACTTGTACAGAACTCAAATGCTACTACTAAAGGTTAAAATATTTGAATACAGTGATGCCAAACAATGAAACCAATTTCCTGCCTAAAGATAAAAAATTAAAACAGCACTAATAAGCTTATATTTAATTTTTTTTTAGTTAAGGAAAACACACCAGTTTACAAATTTGAGTGTTCCATGAATTTTAACACTTTTATTGCATGTACCACAGCAGTACAAGCTGTATATGTAAAAAACCAAACCCTTCTTTTCCCCAAAACGTTAGCTGCCTACAAATATAATAAAAAAGAAGGCTACAAAAAGTGCATGACACACCATCAGGATGATGCAGAACTATCTACAGGGAGCACAGAGACTTAAGAAACAACAAAAACAACTTTCTGGATCCCACCAAGACCAGCAGGATTTTTTGCCGCAAAGAGGGGTTTATTAGCAGTATCTCCCATCTTCCCAAGCTACTAACAACATCCTCCCCGTTTCATTTCAAATGGAAAACATGGCTATGTATAAACATCCTTATTCAGTATCATTTCATCTACAAGAAAAGCAGATTTTCAGACAGAGATAAACATAACAGCACATTGAAATCAAGCCACCTCCATTAACAGTGAATTTTTCTCACTTCACTATATATATACAGTTCACAAATCCTATGAGATTAATGAGTAAAAAGATACCTGTGAACATGTTTCTTCCTGTGATGTGCTGCTAATAAACAAAGTCGGTAGGTCTAGTGTATAAGTTGGAAACTTTTCCAGGGCATGTATTACTGCACGTGCCAAATCAAAAGCTTGCCCAGATCCTGGCTCTTCAACTAATAAGAACCGTGGCCTGAAAGATGTTGGCTGGTAAGGAGGATTGCTACAACAATAAGAAGAAAACATGTTTTAAAATGAGTGATGATGAGGCACAAGTTTTTTCCCATACACTTTTTTTTCGTAAATACTCTCCGTGTTCCACCATAAGCTGGTCTGTGATCAGGAAGCCTATCAAAGCCTATTTTCTCAGTAACTGGTACCATTCCTCAGGTAAGAAGTCCTGCCAGTCCCTAGCATGTCTGCTATTCCTTTGGCTGGGTTAAGTAACAGCTCATAAATCCCACAGAGGGACAATCCGACCAAATACAAACACAACAACTGGTCAGTAACCTGATACAGGGCAGAATAAGAACTCTCTCAGCACAAACCAGTCTGGGCCTCTTCACTGCCCATGCACAATCATTTTCAGCGTGTTTTGACTGTAAGTAACTGTGAGATCTCTACAGCTGTCAAGTGTAGCTAAATTTTGCCATAGATCCTGGAGGCAGTTGGAAGGAGCCAAACAACATTTCTAAGAAAAAACATTGATGTTGGCACAGAAACAGGCTAGTTGTATCTGAAGAAGTACGTGTTTGGATTGGTTAAATTACAGCACTACACTAAATATAAAATTTATGTTTATTTTATTCATTCATCTTTGACTTGTGTATTAATTTCCTAGTAATCTAGCCTTGTGAGCAAGAAACACACTTGTGAAGAGGTTTTTGGGTGTTTCCACCACGATACTTATTATACCTTTACTTATGGAAGTCAAAGATCCTAGAGACCTAACCAGATTCAGCAGGTCACATTTTCTGGACAACACAGCAATAGAAAGGGAGAAAAATAACTGACAGTAATCTATTTTTTTCACCTGTTGGCTTATGTGACTCTCACAATTAAACCATTAAAAGAATAACAAAAACTCAGTAGGGTAAAGGCAAAAAATGCAGATGTCATTTAAATTTTTCTCACAGTATTCTAACAAACCATTTCTCAGTTTTGTTTCTGATACATAATTTGCTACTGGTTCAACAATCTTGGAAGGTAGAAGGGCAAAAGATGGCTACACAAGTCCATAGGGGTTTTTTAAGCTAAAAGGACAGACTGCACATTTTGGGGGTCTAGAGTCTTTCAAGGAATACTATGGATTAAATCAAGATGTTCTTCTAATCTGTGGAGCACTTCAACTTAGGGAAAGAGGTTTGGGCCATTCGGTTTGATGGGTTAGGGCACTGTACTCAGAACCTTAGTACCCACTCGGATCTTCACTCTTCTTGCAAATAGATTACCCCCACACACATCCTTAGCTCCATCTAGCATCCCTCACACCAGAACAGTTTACAGATCCAGACATCTCAAAAATGTAACCATAAAGGGGACATTTGTGCATGCTAAAGGGGACATGTACCTGCTAAAAGTGTGGAATTCTGCCTTTTTGCTATCAGAAATTTTATGAGTTGGCATCTTTCCAGAGACTGATGGTGATTCTTCATTGTCAATTCCATAATTTCCTAAAATAGCATTTAAAGACAGGAGGAGTTTATTAACTTTCCTGAGTAGTTCATATCTCACTCTTGCATTAATACACCTTTGAAATCAGTGCTGGAAACCACTTGTCTTGTATTTTGTCATTTGGATGCCATTTTCTGAAGATTTCATTCTACCACAGATCAAAGGAGATTTCATAAGTCTATACAAAACTGTCCTATGTTCCGTGATTTGCATCAGGTATTATCCCTCTGTTGATAAAACCTTGGGAGATTTTTTCCTTAAAATAAAGATAATCAGGAACAACTTCTGTAGTTCTTAGACACCAGAAAAACTCTTCTCCCTTCACTTAAGCATTTATTTACTACATTAGTAATAATTATTGACTACATCAGTGAATGAGGTCAATGACATCAGATGTCATTTATCTGGATTTCTGTAAAGCTTGTGACGTGATTCCACACAACCTTCTTCTCTCTATATTGGAGACAGATGGATTTAATGAGTGGACTGTTAGATGGATAAAAAAGTGGTTGGATGTTCCCATCCAGAGGGTAGTGGTCAATGGCTCAGAGTCTCGATGGACATCAGTGACAAGTGGTGTCCCTCAGGGGTCCGTACTGGGACTAGTGCTTTTTAGTATCTTCATAATTAACATAGATGAAGGGATCAAGTGCAGCCTCAGTAAATTTGCAGATGACACCAAGCTGAGTGGTGCTGTTGACACATCTGAAGGATGGGATGCCATCCAGATGGACCTGGACAAGATTTAGAAGTGAGCCCATGAGAACCTCATGAGGTTTAATAAGACCAAGTGCAAGGTGCTGCACCTAGGCTGGGGGGATCTCATATGTCGATACAGGCTGGGGGGATGAACTGATCATGAGCAGCCCTGCCAAGAACTTGGGGGTGCTGGTGGATGAGAGGCTGGACATCAGCCAGCAATGTGTGTTTGCAGCCCAGAAAGCCAAATGTGTTCTGGGCTGCATCAAAAGCAGCACAGCCACCAGATCAAGGGAGGTGATTCTGCCCCTCTACTTTTCTCAGGTGAGACCCCACCTGGAGTACTGCATCAAGCTCTTGGCTCCCCAGCACAGGAAGGACATTGACCTTTTGAGGAAAGTCCAGAGGAGGGCCACCAAGATGATTAGAGGGATGAAATACCTCTCCTGAGAGGAAAGGCTGGGAGAATTGGGTTTGTTAAGCATGGAAAAGGCTGAAGAGTGACCTAATTTTGGTTTTTCAGTACCTGAAGAGAGCCTACAAGAAAGATGGAGAGAGACTTCTCACAAGAGCATGTAATGGCAGCACAAGGGGAATGGCTTCAAACTGAAAGATTTAGATTAGATATTAGGAAAAATTCTTTACTGTAAGGGTGGAGAGGCACTGGAACAGGTTGCCCAAAATGGATCTCATCTCTGTAAGTGTTCAAGGCCAAACTGAATGAAGCTCCGAGTAACCTGGTCTAAAAGGTGTCCCTGCCCATGGCAGAGGGGTTGGAACTAGGTAATATTTAAGGTCCCTTCCAACACAGACCATTCTATGATTCTATGATTCTATGATTGATTCTATGATTCTATGATTCTATGATTTGGAAAGAGGTGCCTCATACATGAAACCTTAGATCCATCTCTGAAATGGTAAATGTGATGTTAGCTATTGTCAGAAACGGGGGGCAGTGGAGAACTATGCAGTGGAGAATGCATAGTTGTCTACAGCATATTTCTAGTCACTCACAGCTCCCTTCCTGCACTGTGCACATGCAAAGTATAAAATTGTACTGTCATTATGGCGGATAGGTTTGTGTGTGTGCCTTGGCAGAATTTTAAACAAGTAGATGTTATTGTTATACCTTGGCCCTTCTTCAGTGCAAGTTCTGCATGGGGAAATGCTCTCTGCAAGGCTTGTAAAATTCTTTCCAGAGTGTTTTCTAACAGCGGCTTTGAAATAGGTGGTAGTGGTAGTGCTTGTCCAGGTGAAGCCCCAGCTCTCTGTGAAGCTGGAACAATCTTCTGCATGGCCATGGCAAAATCCTTTGGTGTTACTTTAATCGAAGTGGCATCTATCTTCAGTCTCTTGTCACTTTCATGTATCTGAGGATAACGGCGGCGCAAAGCACAGAGGGCAGCTTCGACACATAAGGCGTTAATATCAGCACCACAATATCCTAGTAAACAAAACAAGAATCAAATATTATGTCTATATATATATATAGGTTAAAAACTGTTAGTGTGGCCAGGCCAAGTGTGTTGGTGAATGATGCTACATCCAGTTGCCAGACAGTCACTAGTGGTGTTCCCCAATGCTCAGTATTGAGGCCAGTACTTTTTAATATCTTTACTGATGGTCTGGATGAGAGGATTGAATGCACACTCAGTAAGAACATGGACAACACTACATTGGGTAGGAGTGTTGATCTGCTGGAGGGTAGAAAATCTCTGCAGACAGATTTGAACAGACTGGGTCAATGGGCTGAGGCAAATTGTATGAGGTTCAATAAGGCAAAGTGCTGGGTCCTGTACTTTGATCACAACAACCCCATGCAGCCCTACAGGCTGGGAGAAGAGAGGCTGGAAAGCTGCCCAGGGGAAAAGGACCAGCACTGTTTTCAAACTCACCAACACATTTCTCAGCCAGCTCTTCAAGTAAGTTGTCTGATGGCTTCAGGGTCCAGTCTCGTGTGTGAATTTTGAAAATCTCTTGTCTCGCCTGGTAATAAAATGGTTGCATTTTAGTTTGCCCTAAGTTTTCTCTTGAAAAAACAACCACAACACAGAACCCCCAAACCTTCAGACTAATACAAAAACTTTTCTTATCTGCTTCTCTACCTATTTTAAAGGTCAGTTATTAATGTTCTCATTGCTTCTTCAAGCAGGAAATTTAATAATTCTCAAACTGTTATATTAAACTCTTGCTGGGGGATGCAGTGAGTTAAAAGGCATGTACATCTTCCATAAAAAGTCAGTTTTCACAAGCATGAGACCTAATAAAGAAAAAAATATACTAAAAGCTCTATCTGCAAATGGAGATTTTGCATCAAAGAAAATTCTCTCAAATTTAGCAAAATTTCATGGTGATGATTTCATTAGTTCACTAAATTTGCTTTTCTGCTACTTCATTCAAGGAAAACAGTCCTAGCACTCCATTTCAAATTGCTAATTACTACCAAGAACAAAAAGTATGACTGAAACCACTGCCACTCATCCAGAAAATGTCAAGCATTGCCTATCCTCATCTCTCTTCTTAGCAAGACTTTCATTGAAGTATTTCCTGATACACCGATTAGTTACAGCAAATTTCTAATATTCTTCCACAGTAGACAATTGTGTATAAGATCTGTTTCATGGCATCTCCTCTTTTGTTCCTGAGGGCAGATAAAAACTGGATACAAATGTTTGTGCTAATGCACTACTTAGTGCACTTCTACTAGCTCTCAGTCTAATATGCCTTTTATCCTTTTTCCAAAAAGTGCTAATAAATATCAGTGATAGCCAGAGAAAAACTACAAAAACACAGTCTCCCTCCCACCCCATCCCCACCACAATATTTTTTGGTTGCTATAAAATTAATTTCTACATTGTTTAGCTATTGCCATTGAACTAGAAGCTCCCCAAGCCCTGCACCTCTGCAACGTGCTTCACATCTTAGTCCAAGTCCCTGTTAATAAGTACCAGTAAGAACGTCAGATCCAACATACTTAATTCGCTCCAGCATCAGCCTCGATCAAAGTTTTTGCTACCAAAAAGGAATTCTTGTGTGCACACCATTTCTTTCACCTTAAAGATGCTACAGCAGCACTTTAAAACTAATTCATACATTCATTCTTTCTTAAACATTTTGATGACTAGCAGCATGCTGTTTTCTTGGCTGGTCCCAGTGAAACCAAAACTACTTGTTGAAATAACATTATTCCTATGTATTCAGTACCAAGTCTGCCCTCCACAGTGCAATGCAATCTCTCCAGACAGCCCTCTCTTGTCCAGGCTGTACTCTACTGATGGAGACTTGCACTGCCTCAGGATGTTACAGGGGTGTGGAGTTTGACACGTAAGCATTAGCATTGAGTCAAAGTCCTGACCTGTTTGTTTGGTAAGGTGAAATGGAATTCTCGTTCAAAGCGTCCGGGTCTTCGTAAAGCAGGATCTATAGAATCCAGTCTGTTGGTGGCTCCAATAACCACAACCTCTCCTCTGCTGGCTAAGCCATCCATAAGTGTCAGAAGTGTCCCCACAACAGAGCTAACAGAAATATATAATTTTTATTCACCAGTTTAGTAAATTTTCTTCAGTTCCACATAACTTTCTTAATTGATCCCTCCAAAAGGACAACCCATTATTGATGAGATGCTGATCAGGAAAATACTTGTTTTAAGACATAACACAGAACTTGTGTTGATATCAATCTTAGCAAATTGGTTTTGCTTGTTGTTGTTTAAAAATCATCTGAAATTCAGTAGCACTAGTTTTCAGGATAAATGAATGTGTCACATCAAGTTAAATTGGTTGCGGTCTTCCTTTCACAAAGATCAAGCAGTTTTCTATGCAGACACAAAACGTGTCCTACCTATGAACTTGGTCTTGTTTACTGGACCGTGTGGGAGCAAGAGCATCGATCTCATCAAAGAAAATAATTGAAGGTCGCATCTGGTAGGCCTGCAGTGAAAACGCAGGAATATTGACATCAGGAAAACAACACTATTTGAAAGAGAAAATGCATGAAAAAAATTGTGATTGGAAAGGTACTGGAACTAGATTTTTCAGACTAGCATCAGGGATCCCTAATAATTGAGCTAATTGAGTAAAGTGGCACGAGTAACAGAAGACAGCAGCCTATGTCAACCCAGGAAATGAATCATACCAGTAGTTTTTACAGCTATTTGGCAACCACCAAGAACAGATACAGGACTTAATTCAGTTACAGGTTCTGGAAGCAACCATCCATTACCAATTTAAATGAACATGCTTTCAGCCTGCATCTTTTTCCCTCTGATCTAAAGCAACCATCTCTTGCTTCTTAAAACCTTTTCTGTGACTGTTTGGGTTGTGAATTATGGTGGGGGTTTTTTTGAGGGTGGTGATGGTAGTGATTTTCTTACTTGTTTTACTTATCTTTCCCAATATATCTCAAGATTTCAAGCCCCTAAAAACCCCACTGAAAAAGGAAACACCGACAATCCCAGCGGACCTTCAGTGGAAGGAGTTGAGAAAAACATGAAAAAGAATGAGTTCTAGTCAACCACAGAAAATTAATTACAACTCAAAAGGAATATATGGTACGTTTCAACCTTACCTGCTGAAATACTAAACGAAGCTGTCGTTCAGATTCTCCTATCCATTTACTCATGCAGTCGGCAGCATTTCTCATAAAAAAGGTTACTTTCCTGTCACCTCTGCTACATTCATTAGCAAGTGCACGAGCAACCAGTGTCTTTCCAGTCCCTGGTGGACCATAGAACAGACAGCCTCTGCAATTTGGAAAAAAAAAATGAATAAAAAAAAAATCACATAAGAAAAACCATCATGGAAAAGTACCTGTTACAACCACCATTCCTAAAACACTCTGCTCTCCTAAACTAAACACTTAATGGGTAAGAGAGCAGTAAGAGCTGAAGTGTATGAAAAAAGTCAAAAGTCAATTCCTACCCAATTCTACAAGCCAGCAAACAAAATTAATAAGAGGATAATGCAGACATACAAAACCTTGAGAAAAGACAGTAAGTAGCACTCCAGAAGGACACTTCCAAAATTTCTAACAAACCAGCAGAGGTGGTTACAGTACAGTGCAGCCAAACAAGAACAAACTTCCAACACAAAATCTGAGACTGGGTTAACTTAGGAATCGCTAGTTCATTTTTCCGTGATACACTGCATATTCATTTTTGTTTTCAAAAAAGGCAAGATTTGAGAGTAAAGCGTTTACTTCTGACTTAAAAAGCATTAGGTTACTGGATTTGATCTCCCTTTGCTGGTGATACAGGAAAAGGAGAAGGTATTCCGTATTTCTGCATTCCCATCAACTAGAAAAGCCAGTGCACTGCTGATTCAAAAAGAATTTCAACAAATAAAGAAGTAAAACACAGATTTTCTTTTCAATGTTTGTAATACTTTTAAAGTTGTTGAAAGTAAAGAATTTAAAGTCCTATTTCAGTATACCATGACTGGATTCTGCTGACCAAGAATATATAAAGTTAACAAGTCTCTAATAACTTCATTTTGTAACACAGAACTCACTTAGCTGTGTAAGAAGTGGACATATTCTTATTTTAGCCCAAGCACAACAAACACTGCAAGGTCCTAGTTGCAAGTCCTATCAATTGTAAAACTGATACTTGAGCACTTGAAAAAAAAGAGTTGGTGGGAGAGAGAACGGGACTTCCAAAAAACAAACTACAGTTGACTACCAGTAGAAAATTCTATTCTACTAACAAACTAATCAAGTCCGCTTGTGCATAGGACTCTAAAGAAAAAATCTCCAACCCCACCTTTCAAAGGCAAGACACTTTTAAAGAATAGTCTCGTCACACAGTAAATCTCTAAACCTACATATATGCTGTATTCTATCGGTTTTTTAAAAAATTACTTTTTACTAGTGCTAAAAATCCCCATCAGCACTGCTGAAAATTTTGAGGCATGGAAACGTTGATTCTCCTGAAAAAAGGAGAATTCTAACTTACAGTTTTAAATGGTGCCTGTTACCTGGGAGGTTTAATTTTCAGTTTCTCAAAGGTGTCAGCATAAAGCAACGGCAAAATGATCATCTCTTTTAAATCTGAAATGTGGTGAGAATGACCACCCACGCCATCAAATTGTACCTAAAGATGAAGCCAACAGAACACATTTTATATGTCAAAGACAGTTGTAATCTTTCCTATCAGAAATTAGATGTCAGCACCAAGGAAACGTTCATGGCAATTTTCAAATCGCTTGAGAGAAAACTGTAAACCAAGGAAGTTTCTGTTACTGGAAACTTTCATAAATACTGCAAAGGTCTCACCGACACAATGAAGTAAAAATACTTACCGAACTATCTATTTGCATTCTCTCAACACTAGCCAGACTTGTTCCAACGTTCATTTGATTTTCATGTGAAGTTCTGTGAACTTCATTTAAGTTGTCTTTCCAAGTCACTTCGACTTTCATGTGATCCTTGCGAACTTCCTTCAAGTCGTCTTTCCGAGAGTTGACCGAAAGAGATCTAATTTGAATTAAGGAGTAAGAAAAAGGTGCTTTCTAAATTACAACACAGATAAAAGATTTTTTATTTTCTAATCATAGCAAGTGAATGTTTATGAGCATAAACTATCTAAACTATCTATCATTCCAACTGTTTTGCATTTAATGGGCATGAATAAAAAAAGGAAAACGGTCACTCCAGACATTAAACTAAGTGAATTATTTTTAACAACTCTTAGTACTTACAAATATTACTATTGCAATTTATAATTTTGAATTTCATTTAGCATTTTTCTTGTTTAAGGATAGTTTCATACAGAAACATGAATTGATTCCAAAGAGAAACCAGAATCTTTATTTGAGTGATTAAAAAAAAAAAGTCATTGAAACTTCCATACAGGCTCTCCCTCTAATTAAATTATCTTCAGTTTTAAGAAAATAATTTGCATGCCTAAAGATTAAGTAGTCTAAGATTTTCAGAGGAACATTAGGGCTTCCATTCCAGAACAAATTAATGTCGGTTACTCAATCTCAGCCACAACTCTCATCAACACCTTATCAGTGACCAGAAATACTGCATTTTCAAATAAAATCTGATGGCTAGTAAAAAGGATGGCCTCCTCCTCAGTGTTTGTTTTCTTTATAATTTCAGACTATCAAAGCAATAATCTGTAATTATATTAATCTCTAATTATCACTAGTCCGAAAACCCTTGAAAGCATTATTCAGTCATGTGACTGACAGCACTTGAGAAAGAACTAACCATACACCAACCTTTTAGTTCTTTTACATGAATCTCTCTCTCTGACAGGTGAAGTATGGTTGGAAAAATTTATCTTATGTTTTCCTAGATCTGTTGAAAGCAAAGAGTTTAGAATAGTGTTACAAACAAGTTTGAGAGGAAGCAGGATAGTCAAAGAGGCAAAAAATGGGATGTGCATCACCCATCTCTAAGTTCAGGGGAAGTTTCAAGGAGGGGAAGATTGGGTGGTTTGATCAAAGTGAAAAAAGGCACATCTGATTTTTAAGGAGAATTGAAAAACACAAGAGTAAGATTATCAAGTTTCTTTAATTACTATTCTTTAAAGGATACATAGGTAATTTTTTTTACTGAAAAACAAGAAGGATGCCAAAAGGATGCAAAAAAAAATTGAATGTGCACAGGATGCATACATTTAATATAATTTACTGGCAGAATGAATGTAAGAAATGTAAAGAAAAGTTGTGTGCATGTATTTTCACTGAAAAAAAAATCTCACTTCCATGCAAGAAATTAGGTCCCAAGAGAAACTGTGCCTGTAACATACTGCGTTGGGTCCACCTGGGTGAAGTTAATTTTCCCCAAAGCAGCCCTCACAGTGCTATGATTTTCATTGGTAGCTGGAAAGGTGTTGAGAACACACCAGTGTTTTGGCTGCTGCTGAGCAGTCCTCCCACAGCATCAGCACTGTCTGTCCAACATTCTGGCCCTTCATCAATAGGCTGGGTGTGGGCAAGATCTTGGGAGGGGACACAGCTAGGTCAGCTGACCCAAATTAGCCAAAGGGGTATTCCATACCATATGGCATCAGTTTAGATATAAAACATAAGAAAAGGAAGAGGAAGGTGGGGCATTCCTTATGTACAATGTTCGTCTTCCAGAGCAACTGCTACGCATGCTGAAGCCCTGCCTCCTGGGAAGTGGCCAGACATTGCTTGCTGATGGGATGTAGAAAATAAAATCTTTTTTTCCTCTTTGCTTGTGCACATTTGCTTTAGTAAACTGCCTTATCTCAACCTACAAGTTCTCTTCCATCTTATTTTCTCTCCCCTTTCCAGCTGAGAAGTGGCATCCACCTTAATGACAATCCAGCACACCCACACCTACTTTCCAATGGAGCTTGATAGCGCTCAACAGCTTTCCTCTGTCGAATGGAGCGTCGTTGACCATCACCTTCTTTTGCTTCATGTCCTGATGAAACCACTGCACATCAACATAATGTTAAACTGTGTAAGTACTGCTGCAAATGATAATATATTCAAAACACACTACGTTAAATGCATTTCCACCTGTCCACAACCTTTTACCTTGTAAGCGTTTTGGAAAAACCTGGATTTTTTTTTTCTCTGAATACCTCTTCTGAGTTTTCTACAGTACAGCCCTAGAGCCCATGGCTTGTAATGTCAATAGCAACATAGATTTTTCTAATGGATGAAAAATAACCAGTAGTTCAGCCCATCTCAATTGTTTAAGACAAGGCTTTTGGATAGAATAAAGTCAATAAAATTTAAAATAGAACTAGCCTACAATGATACCTGGATTGTCAGCTTTTTCTGTGTTATTTCTTCCCATATTGAGGCTTTCCTAATTAAAACAAACAAGAAAGATCAGTCACAAATATGCAAAAAACCTGTGGGCGTATTTGGTGCTTTTATAGTAACATTACCAAGGCACTCTATATAGACAAAAGATGAAATGAAGGCATGAGAGGAGAAAATAGGAACATCATTCTGGCACCAAGATTAATAACAAGTATTACTGCTCTAAAATACGGTTTAGTAAATGTGATAGTTACATCTAGCCAGATACAAAATAGAGTGTATCAATTAATGCCAGGTAAATAATCCAAGAGTTTAGTAGAACTTGGGACAAAGCAAGTCCTAGTAGACAGAAGAAAATCATCCTGGGATTTGGGAGAGGATATACAAAGTACTCATAAGAAAGTTTCATAAGAAAAGTTTCATAAGAAAAACCAAAACCAAAACCCACCCAAATCAAAAACTAAACCACAAAAGAATTCAGATCTAAAAACCACAAACAAGCAAACAAACAAAAACACTAAAAAAACCCCAAAAACAACCAACCAACCAAACAAACAAAAACTATCAAAGAAGGTTATGAAGATGTTTAAAAACTAAAGCATCTGTGATTCAAAAGGGCAGTGGACTAACTTAATTTAATAGAGCAAAACTAAAATAGAGGGAATATGGTTGCTGTCTATCATTTTAACATCAGTTCCACTTAGGACAAAGGACCACTTGGCCTCACAGGCAAAACTGGCACAAGACAAAACTCAGATAAATCAGGTATCAATGAAATCAGTTTTTAGTAAGATTTGAAGTGAAAACCCAGGCCCTGAAACTGTTGTTTGTAAGCAGAGTCCATTCAAAAGTCATAAGGCAATTCAGAAAGCATAGTGGAAGATGTATTGCAGCATATTAGTGAATATCTTCTGAAGATATTTCTCCCACTCTTAGAGTGTACCTGTGGCATGACTGTAAGAAGTTAAATAATAATTGGAGAGCAAAAATAGCTTTCTAGACTACACTATGCTTTGGAAGAAGTTTGTTCAGCTAAATTAAAATTACAACTAAATAATTTCTCTGTGTGAAATACCCTGCTCATGTTCTCTCTGTCATCCATTTTTGGTGATGCTGCTTCTGCAGTACTAAGATACAAGTGGACAGGTAAGAGCAATGACAGGCAAGTACAAAAAAATCCCATTGAAACTAACAAACATAATCAGTGCAACATTTCAATATAGTGTGCACAAAATAAGAGTCACTGACCCTTAGTCAAGTTTTTCAACCTTACTTAAAAATTAGGTCAAATGTTGACTTTTTTTATAGCAAGATTTAAGAACAAGTGTTTGAGCATTTAAAAACACACACTGTTTTCAGGTTTATTTTTCCCTCTTGCTAAACACAATAAAAAAAAATCTCATGTAGCAGGAAAAAATGAGTTCTGAAGATCATAGGAAGAAACCAGAAAGAAATTATGGAAGTTTTTCATAGCACTTGTCTGCATGATTGCATTAAGTCATTTTTAGTTCACAGGCTTCTTTAGACAACAGGTTGCTTATTCTTCTCTTAAGTGGAAATAAGGTCTCATGCTGATTTTCTATGACTACATATGCTAGAAAAAGCATCTCACTGCTGTTACACTTTGCAAACATTTCAGAAAACAATGTCAATTTGGGCTTCATAAAGAGAATTAAATCATGGAGACAAAGACAAAAACACTAGGGCTGCTTCACTTTGACTGTATCCAACTTTCTCCTGTATCTTAACTTGACTAGGCATTAAAAAATTATTTGTAAGCATGAGAGAAAAGTTAATTAAACATGAAAGCACTTTGAGGACAAGTTAAATCTACTGAAAGTCACAACATAAAGATTGGTTTTGTTCACAAGAAGCAGCCCACACATAAGAGATGCTCCCATATGAAGATCTCTCTGCAACTGGTAACCCCAAAATGAAGATACTAGTGGCCAACTAAAGCTTTGGCTGTGCCCAAATTCTTTACAAGTGAAGCACCTGCCAAATCCACCTTTTGGCACACACTCTGACATGGAAGTCTTAAACAGCCACAAGCACCTGTTTCAAAAAAAATCCTCATGTTCAAGAGCTTGGCTGTGAAGTGCAAAGGCTCTCACCTTACATAAATCAATACTACATTAATAATGATTACAGGACATACCCATGCAGGCAGAATGACAGGAAGGGATACTGTGTTACCAACTGCAATGGAGTGTTTACAGAGATTCCACGAGGTTGCTTGGCAACACCCCCTCACCAAAGTTCCAGGCTCGGTCATATCCAATCCTCATGGGACTCTACTGTGGAGGGCACCTGCAGCCCAGCACTTCATAATCACAGAATCATGGAATGATTTGGGTTGGAACAGACCTTTAAACATCATCTGATTCCAACCCCCCTGCCATGGGCAGGGACACCTTTCACTAGCCCAGGTTGCTCAAACGCCTATTCAACAGGGCCTTAAACCCTTGTAGGGGTGGGGTATCCACAACTTCTCCAGGCAACCTGTTGCAGTGCCTCACCACACTTACAATAAAGACCTGTTGTATATATGATGGCACATAGGGAGGTCTCAGCCTAACCACTGTGAATACACTTAGGTCTTGCTGCCAGAAACAACAATACCTTTTTCTGTTGTCAAAAGAAGTAGAAAGTCCCTAGCCAATATGATGTACATAAGCTTGATAATAAGGGTCATTTTAGTAGCTTTGCAAGATGATGAAAAATCCTACTCTCTTAAAAGTTTGACTAACAAAACGGATTGATTTGTAGTGGTGTAACTACTTTGTCTAAGTCTGTAACTTTGGTGGACCTCCAAATCCCATTTTCTTCATCCTTTAATCAACCTATATTACATAAAATATAATGTGAAGCTGGCTTGATAGGATTATTTTCCAAAACACATATGAACTGGCGTTAATTCTGCTACTCACTTTTAATTCTTTTTTAATTCAGTTTCATATTATCTGTTCCATTATTTTTCCAAGGATTTATGGGACACTGACAGGTCTATAATTTCTTGGGTCATTTCTTTTATTCTTTTAAATATTGGCATGTTACCTTTCTTTTGCACTCCTGAAATTTCCCCCGTGTACCAAGAGCTACTGAAAATCAACATTAATAATCAAACTCTTTAACAATGCCTTTAAACCTGTAGGATACAGGTTATCCAACTTCCTAATTTAAAAATGTTTCATTTCCCGTTCCAAAGCAGAATAAAAACAGCTTCAAAGTTCCTGAAGTACATATATAGCTCTTACCCCTCGAAATCAAGCCAGCAAGAATTGGGAATGCCCGGGATCCCCCAGCACTTGGAATAAGACACAGAGGGCAATGACAAGAATAATTTCTAACTGTAATACAGAAGAGGTCACAAGCAAATACTCTTTGACCTGTAAATTGTTTAAACACAATTGTTTCCATTTTAGCAGATGTGGAAACTAAGATGTGGAGAATCTTAGCAACACCCACAGTGCATATATCAAATGTGAGAGTAGAAGTCAGAAGGTCTGAGCTCCTCCAGGCCTAGCAGCTATAGGCAGCTTCTCATATACCCTCCCCTGTGTAACCCAGAGGTTCCAACCAAAAATCACTACTCAAAGCACAAACAATATGTAAAATTTTTCATTATTAGTTGATTATCTTTTTATTGGAATCACAGTTAACATTAACTGTGAGAAGGGAAGTAAATCAATTCATCGCTGGTTTTTTTTTTGTTTCTTCTATACAATTGCTGGGGTTTGCCTCAGAGTGATTTTTTTTTTTGGTAAAGCAGTTCAGCAGACATGAACTTAGCATGATGTATAACTACACGTAATTTTCAAAATAAGACTGATTATCATTTGATATTTATGTTGTCTTTTTAAGGAGATAACAAAAAAACCCCAGGTGATGCAGACATAAATACAAATATTTTGTTAGAAACCTATAAAAACAGTTGGGGAGGTTACATGTCGAAATGGGCCAGTATAGTATTCAAAAAAATTATCCACATTCTATCTCTATTTAGCAAATATGTACATATTCTATCTTTATTTGTTTTAAGGTTGAACTTCTGAAGCATGCAATAGTCTAACACTAAAACAGTCACACTTCCATGTAGCATTTTCTTAGACGTATTCAAGTAGGAAAGCAAGGGAGATCAACTAGTGTCACTGAAAGAAGCCATAATATTAAAATATTGAATTGCTCTTGGCCAGAGTAGCTAATATGAGTTATAAATTTGAATTTTGTTCCTTTATGCTTACTGCTCGGAAATATAGAATGATTCAGCAACAATAAGAAATCGTTATAAACTTAATAGTGTATTTGCTTCTTTGTGATTTAACATTCTAAAACACTCAGGCAAAAGAAAGGCAGCATTAAGAGAACATCAGTGACTCATTCAGGAGATCAGCAATACCATATCTGTGATTGTTTTTATAATGCTAATTCAGCTCAGCTGTGTAAGTCCCTTTCCAGACAGTGGGTCATTTAGTAAGAGCACTCAGATCTGGGAATAAGTCAACAATTTGTGTTGAAGAAGATGCTAAATGTGAGCTAGCCAATCCCTCATTCACTGTAGAAGAGGAATTTGATTTAGTGAATGAGGTAGCATTTGCAGAATGGTTGCTGGATTTACGAATTTGAGTATTGCCTGGAAGAATTAAAACTTCTTTTTCTCTATAAATTCCAAGGCCATACTGGAATAATTTAAACCATAATTTTTAAAAATTGTCATTAATTCTGTTTTCCTTATTTTCTATATCAAATTTTAAATCCTCCCAGTTTGATTTTTGGAATTTTAAAATCTCATAGTTTTTATTTAACATTTAGTAGACTGTAGGTCTTAAAGGATTTGGAGCTGCCACCCAGTTAGTCAGAAGTTGAGCTATAGGATACTTGCTGTTCATCTAAACCAAAGTGACTGTGATAATTTGTCCTTCTTTCCTTTTTTATTATCCTTGGAACTTAATTCCAGGGGACTATAGGAAATCTGAACTTAATAATTACTGTGAAAAATCAGGTCTAAGGTACCCCATCTTAGGCAACCAAAGTTAGTGAGCAATTCTGGCCATACTTCCTTTATTCCACATATTTAAATGGGAGGAAAATAATAGTGAATTACCTGGACATCAGACATTCTATCCAATAAATGAGGTACAGGTATATAAAAGAATAGTTTATGATCTGATAATGCAGGGCCATCAAAAGGTGCCTTCACAGAGGGGTTTAAGCTTGCATGGACATTTTTAATTCTGGCCTGTTCTAAACGTTCTCATTTTCGCTGATCCTTTCGCAAGAACCATGTACGTGCCTGCTTATGTGCCATCTCCTAGATTTTTGTTAAAAGAAAAACTATCTACTTCACATTACAGAAAGATATATAGATGCAATTTATTTCATATTACATTTCAATGGGACTTTTGAGTTCCCTAATTTCTTGAAACTGCTACATTCAAAGTTTGTATCATTAACAGATACGTGCTCCAATTACCCAAACATATCCTGATATATATGATCACTAGGTACCCAACTCATTATGGAATTAAAGTTTAGATACACTGACAAGAATTACATAGAAATAACACATCCAATTGAGTAACTTCCTCCTTATACCTGCTTTTCCTAACCATCTAGTCTACAACACAATAGTATTACCACATATACTTTTTTTCCCTTATGACTTCCAGTTTTTATTTACATATTAAAATATTGGTTTAAATAAATTACTTGATCAACCTCAGTTGAAAATCTGTGGCACTGCCATGCCTGCATTTACAAATCACTGATGGGTGCTTTGGTCACAGTAAAATCCTTCCTTCCTTCCTTCCTTTTACAGTTCAGTTCTTAAAATATTGCTTCTATAAAATTTCAGTGTCTCATTATTTTTAAAATTTAAATAGCAAGAGAAATGTTTTTCCAATAGCACTATTGAGTGAAATTAAACATTGATTCCTGCCTTGGTTTCAGCAGCAGGATCCAGTCTCCAGCTCAGCTGTATTCACTGCTCTCTCACTTGTAAGGACTTTTCTTCCTACGGAATTTTAAAAGGTATAAATTTCATTCTGTGTACACCATCACCTATAAGAAAAAACACTTTTTTCATGTACCTGTTTGCATCTGGGGACTCGTTCCAGTGCAAAGTCAAATCCTCTTAAACCTTCAGTTGGTTCCCATCTTTATTGACGGATGCCCTGTACTTAGGGTAGCTACAAATAAAGATTTTATCGATCATTCTGACCTCTAAAATTTTGATATATCAGTGAATCGAATATTCTAGCACGAATTTTTTCATTCTACTGTGTTATAAAACTGTTTCACCAATACAACATCCAGCAGACCAGAGTATCATGGTGTTAGAGAGATGTCAGTCTGGGGCCATCTGCTGGTTGTGTCCCGGAGCTTTCATAGACAGATTTGAAAAAACACTTTACATATGTAATTCTTATGTAATTATAAAAGACCAACATATATTAATAGATTAATCACTTAAGTACGTGATGTTTCCTGTGTACTTGTTATTTGTTTTTAATTTTAAATATTCAGTGAACTTAATATGGACCAATTATCAAAAGAAAAAATAATTAATTTATCTTGCTTTCATAAACGTAATAAAAATGGAGGTGAGGAGGCCTAAAAAAGCTCTTACTTCTCAATAACACTGTCATGGTTTGAGATACCCCCAAAAATCCAATTCCCTAGCTTCAGGGAAAGAAAGCAAGGAATAAAGTAATGTTAATGCTAGTATGTAAACAATTTAGTAAAATAATCCACATATCTTTAGTTTTATTGCTGTGATAAAGAGGATAAATAATTCTTACTGCCTTACTTGATGCTTTGTAAGATTTCACCTTGAACTTTTATGTGCTGGTCTAAAATAGCTAAGATGCACCATGTGCTGTTTTCTTGGGATAAAAAAGGTCTCAGTCAATTTTATGATGTTCTTCAAAGGTTTTTATTGAAAATAAATTCAGGAAAAAAAAGCAGATGAACAGAAGTGTAAAGGTTTTAAAACCAGAAGTTCTAATAAATGAGCTACTTCAAACTAAGAATAATCCAGACCATTTAGTTCAGATTCTAAGAGTATATTTATATGATGCTGTTAAGTATGTATTTACTCATTTATTGTATTATAATATTGATAATTATGTATTCTGTAATTGAGTCTTATTTTTATTATTGCAAGACTACGTGCAACTTTTAAGTGTGTTTTCAGGAGCAAGATAGAGCATTTTACAGATTTTACAAGTTTAAAAGAGATCCTTTGCACCTATTATGTATATACACAGACAGACAAATATCTACGTATTA